TAGTAGCTAATATTATTTTTCTAAGTCGACAATTAAATTAAACGACATTTTTCTGCAAGATATTGTGGAACGTTTAACACTAAAGTTCAATTTTAGCAGGCAATTACTATAGACGTCATATTTATTATAGACGTGGATATTCATGGAAGATTTTATACGATCCATAATACAGTCTGTCGTAAAGATGCAATTTTTTTTACTTGACGATGTAAAAAAATATATTTGGCTACAAATTTCGAAAGATTCCCTTGTACGAATAAAAAATATTTTTACATTGTAAAAATTTTGGCTATCTTATTGCATTTTGTTTTTTAAAATAACCATTTTCCCTAGGTTCAGCAAACAAATTGGGGCAAGTTTATAATCAGAGACAAAAGAGTCGACACCCGGAGTTAGAAAACGGAATTTTGTGGGGGGCACATTAGACTTCCGGGACATACAAAGATCTCCGGAAATCAACACCTGAAGGGATGAAAATGGAAAAATATGCTTTTATGCTGTTCCTCCATATATACTAGGCCCAATGATACCAACAAATTTTTTGGCTGCAGTAGACTGTTGTTTTGAATCTCTCATCTCAGTTTAATGACTGCAATATGAACATTAATTTATGTACATACCTGTAATGTGCATTGTTATAGAACCCTATTTTAATCAAAATTAAAATAAATTAATTTATATATTTTTGAAGACGTGCATTTTGTTCCGATATTCATAAGTCGCAATCCAGTGTCAATTCTCAAAACCAAACATTACCCTTCGTATAATGGTGAACGATGCATTCTTTAAACTGTATAATTCGGATAGCTCAGTCGGTAGAGCATTAGGATTTTTAACGTAAGGCTCCAGGGTTTAAGTACCTGTTCGGGCGTGTCATTATTTTAAAATTGATTGCTAGGTCAAAGTAAAAAAAAAAACATCCGAAAAATTTTAAGAGATATTTCAATAAACTCAAATTTAATTTGTCCCCTCACAAGCCAGTATCTCACAAGACTACCCCAACACAAGACTGACCCCTCAAAAGTCTTTCCCCAAAAAATACAGACTCCTCACTAGTCTGACGCCTACTAACTAGGTTGACCCTTCACTAATAGATCTTCTAAGAAGACTGTCACCTCACAAGACTGCATCTTCGCAAGACTGAACCCTCACAAGTCTGTCCCCTCACAAATCTGTCCTGTCACAAGTCTGACCATTCACAAGTCTAACCCCTTAAAAATTCTGACACCTCACATGTCTGACCCCACAAAAGTCTGTCCCCTCAAAAGACTGTCCTCTCACAAGAATTTACCTCGCAAGATTTTCCCCTCACAAGACTTCCTCTTCACTAGACTGTCCCATCACAAGACTGACCTTCACAAGTCAGACCCTTCACACATCAGTCCCCTCAGAAGACTTTCCCTTCCAAAGACCGATCCCTCACAAGTCTGCCCCACCACAAGCCCAAACCCTCACAATTCTGACCCCTCCCAAGTCTGACCCCTAACAAGTCGGTCCCGTCACAAGTATGTCACCTCACAAGACTGACCATCACTAGTCAGTTCCCTCACTAGTCGGTACCTTCATAAGTCTAACACTTCACAAGACTGCCCCTTCACAAGTGTGACCTCTAAAAAAACTCTGACACCCACAAGTCTGATCCTTTACAAGTCTTGTTCTCTCACAAAACTGCCCTGTCAAAAGTCATACTACTCACAAGTCTGACCCATCAAAAGTCTTTTCCTCTCAAGACTGTCCTGTCAAAAGTCTGACCATCACAAGTCTGACCCTTCAAAAGTCTTTTCCTCTCAAGACAGTCCTATCACAATTCCTACCCCTCACAATTCTGGCCCTTCACAAGTCTGACCGCTCACAATTCTGACTACTCACAAATCTGAAACTTCACAAAGTCTGACACCGCACAAGTCTAACTGCCAATGAGTCTGACCCTTCACTAGTCTGTCCCCCACAAGACTTTCTCCTCACAAGTCTGACCTCTCGCAAGCCCGCCCCTTACAAATCCACCCCTCACAAGAGTGACCCCTCACAAATCGGAGGCCTCACAATTCTGTCCTCTCAAAAGTCTGTCCTCTCAATAGTATGTCCTCTCTGCAGTCTGTATTCTCACAGGTCTGTTCTCTCACAGGTCTGTTCTCTCACAAGCCTGACACCTTACAAATATGATCCCTCATAAAACTCTCGCATCTCAAGTCTAACATTTAACAAGTCTGTCTCCTCACAAAGCTGATACCTCACAGGCCCAACCCCTCACATGTCTCTCCTCTCACAAGTCTGTCCCATCATAATTCTCACCATGTACAAGACTCTCCCTGCCCAATTCATCCCTTAACAATTCTGTCCTATCACAAAACTGAACATGAACAAGTCTGAACCTCCACATGCCCGACCCCTCACAAATCAGACACCTTAGAAGTCTGTCCCCTCACAAGTCTAAACCTTCACACGTCTGACCTCTCACAAGTCTGTCCCCCACAATATTGCCCCTCAAAAGACTGTCCTTTCACAATTATTACCACTTTCAAATCTGTTCCCTCAATGTCTGTTCTCACAAGTCAGTCTTCTCACAAGTCTGACCTCCAAATTTCATACCACTCAAAATATGGTCCCCTTACAATACTGATCCATCCCAAGACTACTCCTCACAAGTCTGACCCATCACAATTCTGACCCCTCACAAGTTTGTCCCCCTACAAGTCTGACCCCTCGCAATAACGACACTTCAATAGCTTTGCCTCCCATCAGTCTGACCCCACACAAGTCTGACCATTCTCAAATTTGTCCCCTCACAAGTCTGTCTGCTTACAAGTCTGTCCCCTCACAAAAGTAACCCCTCACAAGTCTGTCCTCTTACAAGTCTGTCCCCTCACAAAACTAACCCCTCACAAGACAGATCTTACAAATCTCCCCACTCGCAAATCTGTCCTCCCATAAGTATGACACCTCACAAGTCTGTCCCCTAGCAAGAATGTCCCCAAATAAGTCTGGCCCCACACAATTCTGGCCCTCATAAGACTGAACCCTTACAAATCTGAACACTTACAAGTCTGAAACCTCACAAATCTGTCATCTCACATTTATGACCCCTTACAAGTCTGTCCCATCGCAAATCTGACCTCTCACAAGCCTGTCCCATCGTAAGTCAACCTCTCAAAAAGCTATCCTTTAAAAAACTGACTCCTGACAAGTCTGACACCTCACAAATCCATTTTCTCAGAAGACTGTCCCCTCACAAGATGGATCCCTCACAAGTATTACTCCTCACAAGTCTGTCCTCCTACACATTATCACGTAAAGAGTCTGAAACTTTACAAATGTGATCCCTCACAAGTTCGTTCATTCACAATTGTCACTCCTTCCAAGTCTGAATCATCACAAGTCTAACTGCTCACAACTCTGTACCTTAAAATGTCTGATTCCTCACAATATTGTCCCTCACAAGTATGACCCCTCACAAATATGACGCCTCATAAATCTGCCACCTGGCAAGTCAGACCCAACCACATGCGCAAATATTCACAGTCTAACCCCTCGCAAGTCTTTCTCCTCACAAAACTCCCACCTGACAAGACTTTTCCCTCACAAGACTGAACCCTCGCAAGACTGTCCCCTCACAAGACTGGCCCATCACAAGTCTGACCCCTCAACATTCTGACCCCTCACAAGTCCGTCCCTCGCAATCCTATTCCCACGCAAGTCTTGCCGCTCACAAAACTGGCATATCACAAGTCTGATCCCATACAGTCTGAACCCTGACATGTCTGACCCTTCACACGGCTGGCGCCTAATATGTCTGACCCCTCAAAAGACTGTCCCTTCACAGGTCTGTTGTTATGTAGCACCTTCATGTTGCAATCTTGAGCACCCATAGGTACTCACGTTACAATACAAAAATGGCGCATAAAAGGAAATTGGGGTTTTAGATTCCTGTGTAGACTAGGGTTTTCTATGGAAAACATTACTTATGGGCATGCTTCTGTTTTAATTACATAAAATATATACTTTAAGTATTAAGTACACACATGTTGTAGCTCAAGATTTTATCAATCACAAAATTATTGTTATAAATTTATATTTTATCCACGGCAATTAGTGAGGAAATAATTAACAAACTATCAATTTATTTTGAACAAGTGCCCTATTAAATTTTTCCTTTGCCATTACAACAGAAATCTTTTCTGTCTCTGATTAATAACTTGAAATTTGCAGGTCCCCAGCAACTTGTGAGCATCGATTCGGAAATCTTATATCCATAACATTGCGATGTAGAAGACAAAACTTGTCGCAGTTTATTTGCTATAACAAAGGAAATAATAGTTACTATAAACATTTGGAATGGGATAGACACGATTTTTACAGTGTAAAAAAAATTTATATTTGTACAAGCGTATCTTTCGAAACTTGTTCCCAAAGATTTTTTGTTTTTCTTCAAGCATATCTATGTCTACAATAAATACGAAGTCTACAGCAATTGCCTGATAAAATAAACTTTAGTTCTAAATATTCCACAGTAATACACAGAAAAATTTCCTCTAATTTAACTGCAGACTTTGATAATAATCTTAGCAACAAAGTGTCCAAAGAATTTTTATACTATTACAAAAAAAGTTGTGCTCCTTTCTCTCTCTCTCTGTTTCTCTCTCTCTCTTTCTCTCTCTCTCTCTCTCTCTCTCTGTACGCACTATGACCATAGCATCTCTGATTACCTCTCTCATTCAGAACAACCGCTACTAAAGACTAATAAAATTCACATATTCATTCTGGGCCTAACTAAGCTTTAAACATCCGTATGTTTGTTTCACTTAGGTTGATCAAACACAGAATAAAATTGTAAATTGATAGCTGGTAATAAAATAACCTCTATTTTCTAAATCCCTTAGACAGCTATATTTTTAATACAAAAAAAAATTCTTATTTAGCGCTCATATTCCTTGAACATTAATGGTTGTTTTGTTTTTCAGTTATCCTACCAAGCTGTCTTGACAGCCAAAAAAATTATTACCCGCCCAAATAGGGATTTGAACCCTGGGCCCTTAGGTTAAAAGCTTAATGCTCTACTGACTGAGCTATCTTTTTTTTAAGTCGTGTATTTTGACTTAAGAATAAAGCAAAGACAATAGAGGACATAGGCTCAAGTGTGCATGTCCTTACTCTGGTCACAAACTTTTTCTTAAAAATGAAGTTGTTACGACATACACACACTCTCAGGGATACACTTTAAAAGAAAAACAAATAATGCCCATATTTTTTGTTTAGTGTTTTATCTTTCACTATCAGCCACCTCACCCTACGCAGTCTGTCAAAAAATTCACGTAAGTGGAAGGTGTCGGCATATTGACAGTAAAGTCGATCAAGTTCATGAGTAGCCAGACCACCGCTCTCCGTTTGACGGTAGGGAAGGCTGTCAAATCAAGGAAGCAGAGCGTCTCCTCACGTATGTGATCAGCTGCCACGTCAAGTCTTCGTGCAATGCGACGCCGACACCAAGTCCATAAGGGACGGGAATAGATACAACTGGTAACCCTATGAAGTGCTGTATCACGGTGAACACATATGACGTATCGGTCATCAGCGTCAAGGAAAATACGTTTACGTCGAATCTTAGTGGGTGTTAAGTCGTTGACAAAGGAATATGCAGACGCTCGGAGTGCGGTGGGTAGTTCTACATCTGCTATATTTTTCCATATTGTATCCCTGTGCAAATTGACCCATTTGAGTTGCACCCGCGGAACTACATTCACAGTCCTGCGATGATGTTTGTATAGTAGACTCGTAGTGACGCTTACGCCGGCCGGTAATTCAATGAGAGTTTGTTTCACGCCTTGAAGTGCCTGTAGGTAATGTCGAGGGAGAATGTGATCATTTGTCCATACTGCGCGATGAAGCGCCATGACTTCGCGATTTTCAGACGTGAATTGTATGATAGTTTTCTCAAACAAAGCCCTAGCTTTCAGTTTCAGATCCACAAGGCCCAAGCCTCCTCTGTCTGCAGGAAGGAGTAATTGCTCCCTATTCGCCCGGAATAAATACCCACGCCACATGAACCACCCTATGTACTGCCGTATTTGTACCTCGGTTGCTTTTGGCTTGGGGAATAGGTGCGCTACATACCATAGCTGTGACAATAGGTACGTGTTTACAATATAAGCTCTTTGTATAATACTGATGTTACGAAGACGAGCAGTTAGAAGGCTGCCGCGTACTTTATGCACCACTGAGTCCCAGTTGCATTTAATCATTTGCTCGGAATTTTGCATAAATTCGATTCCCAACGTACGAAGTTGATCAGTCTTGACATATGGGGACACGTGTCGCAGAACATGTGGCTCAAGCTTCAGGTCTAGTAATTTTGTCTTCGCGGTGTTAACTTGGGCAGTTGCCGCGCGGGTGAAGGCGGATAGTGTGTCATTAATTCGAGCTACGTCGTCTTCACTCCGCACTATGCACGTGACGTCATCCGCGTATCCAATGCATGTTAGAGTTCGTATCCCAACACTGATACCGTCGAGTTTCGAGTGGAGTATTCGTAGGAGGGTTTTAATGTACAGTACGAATTGAACCATGGATAAGGGACACCCTTGACGCACGGAGGATTTAATGGTAAAACTTTCTCCCAACCTACCATTAAGAGATATCTGTGTTGTTGCACCTCTTCGTAGAGTTTGTAAACTGACGATAGCTGGTGGTGGGAAGCCTACATGTAGCATAATTCTGTCAAGTAAATTCCAGTTCACTCGTTCGAAGGGTTTGTCAGGGTCAATATTCACTAAAGACACCGGCCCCGGTGTCGATTTGGCTATTAATTGAACATCTCGCAATACTGCAACGCCTTGAATGATAGAGGTGTTTCGCACAGCGCAACATTGTTCAGGTCCTATAATGTCAGATAAGATGAGCTTCAGGTGATTTGCGAAGATGCGCGCAAGAATCTTATAGTCCGTGCAGAGCAGAGTAATAGGCTGTAATCAGTAATGTGGAGGGGGTGATTTTTCTTAGGGATCAGAACTAAAATACCTTCAGTTTGAGATCGACAAAGTGAGTTTCTGTTGATGACTGTTCGCAATATGTTGCAAAATCCCATTTGGATGACAGGCCAATAGTGCTGGTAAAATTCGTATGGAATGCCATCAATTCCCGGCGATTTCTTTTTAGGAGTGCGTTGTACGATTAATGCCACCTCCTCGTCCGTGATTTGACGTCGATTGTTTGTTCCGAGTAAAGGCGCGAGTAGTGGTCAAAGAAGGCAGCCGCAATTGACATTGGGTCTCGTAAAGTTGTTCCAGCTAAGGTACGTGTGGCATCAACATGTCGTTTGGAACACATTTTCTGTTCGCTCTCAAGGGCCTGAATGCTAAGGTGCTCTTGCTGTAGGGTAGTGCAGGTATGTAAATATTGCATGCGCTGTTCCATATTATTGCTATGTATGTGTAGAATTTTTTTTGAGTCGATGCGCTGTGTCCCTCTCATTATTCCCTGTCAACGCCGTGGTGTCAAGGTCGCGCAACGTCCGCTCGTAGAAATATAACACAGAAGCTTGCTCGTGCCAGTAACGTGCTCCGTGAAACTGAAACAGCCGTCGGACGCCCGGTTTGACGCAGTGTTCCCTCCAATCGGCTGCATCAGCATAGCGCGGTGTCTGTCGAACCCAATACAGCCAACGCTGTCTGAAGTCAGTATCCACTTCGTCTTGTTCCACAAGTCTCGTCTGTAGTCGCCAATAATTCCGCCCACGCACCGGAGTTCTTGGAGGACAGTCGATAGTACGCAGCACGAGAGAATGGTCAGTAAAGGCAGCGGGAATGACATCATAACTACGAACCGACTGTCTGTTGTTTCTAGATACGTAAAATCTGTCTAGCTTCGTACTTGATTACTGCGCATGAAACGTGTAGTGGGGTCTTTGTATGTTGAGAATGTCTACCACATCTTCCACCTGGATCGCAGTTACGAGTTCTTGCAGGGCCGTGTTCGTCGGATACATTCCACTACGATGGTCTAGGGGGTTTAAAACACAATTGAAATCACCACCGAATATAATGTTAGTTCTGTCGCCTTCTAGAAAAGGTTAATATCTCCGTTCTGAAAAACGCTGTTCTTGCTGTTTTGTGCTGTGTAAACATTTACACAGAGCGCCAGTTCAACAGGTCCAGTGCCTGGTGGCGTGAGCGACTTGAGTAATGTCCCCGAAATTATGCGGCCTGACGGGTGTGTCCGAACGTTAGCCAACTGGTATCCATTTCGGGTAATAATACACGTTCCTCGACTATTCGTTCCAACAGTCGTGTACACATTGCAGTTGTTAAAATACGGAAACTGAGGTTGGGAAACTTCTTGCAAAAATAAAACGTCTATAGCATGGGCGTAGGCCAAGTTATACAGGGCGTGAAATTTGTACGCTGCTTCAATGGCACAAATGTTAACTGTTGCTATCGTAATCACACTAGCCATAATGGAGAGCATACACGGCGATGCAAAGAATTAGTCCTCTGTTGTGGGTGTTCCGTGTGACGCGATTTTATATTGCTCAATTACTTGTCGAGCAATCGCCAGTGAATGTGCACGTTCCGATTGTGGGCTTTCAGAAACGATGACATCTCGTCGTGGGATGCGGCTTTTATGGCGGGGATTATTTTCCTTACGCCTGTGGTCAAGCGTTTCTGCGCTTCCTCCTTTCTTTTTAGTACTTTGCTTGTCAAGATATGTGTGTGTATGGATGTCCCCGGCGAAGTGTGTATCGCAAGTGATACTAGCTTCGCCGAACCATCCACTGTACCGTCTTGCATTGGTGTCTGAACCGGTGATTAGCACACAGATCTGTTGTTTTCCCCTGGAGGGCGAGTGTCAGTTGGGTCTGTCTTGCCGGCAGATATCACTGTGTGTTGTCCGGCTGCGAGTGTTAGTGCCCAGGTCCGCCTGGCCGGAGCGGCGCCCCCCAGTAAAATGGGGCAGTCGGCACACATGTGTCCCGTTATGTTACAGACACTGCATGACTGTGGTTGACCGTAATACACGGCGAATCCCATGTGTCCTACTGTTATAAAAGGATGGTATGTTTTTAGTCAGTTTGGTTTTGAGAAAGCGTTCTCCCGTTTTAACTTTGAATTTGTAATTAGCAGCCCACATTTCGTTTGTTAATGACAAGAATTCGCCATAATGCTGTAAGGCATACAAAATGTTTTCGTTCTTAACTTCCACCGGTAAGTTAAAAACGCGTACAGTTTTGAGATTGTCGATCTCAATGTCGATGTCGACGTTGATTGACTCACCAGTGGACGTGCAGATCTGCGATGTACCAGCTGTCAGTCGCATGATGCGTTCACAGTGTAGCATCGAAGTCAGCTTTATGATGATGCATCGTTGGCGACCGTCCATCTGGACAGCAACAAGTTCGTCTTCTTGTATGCGCAGCGTCTCGTCTAGCCAGTTGTGTAAGTCCAGAGCTAGGGGCTTCGTGCGGCACTTCACACGAAGCGTGTTCACTCTGGTGGCTGGCTTGTGTGACTCCATGTCGGAACATTATGTGGAAGTTTGTTGTAGTAATGACCTCAGTAAGGCTAGGCCTGTTTGTAACTGACTATTTGCGCCGCGAGGAAGACACTCACTTGCATCGACGCACTGGCGTGCACTATACGTCCGCGCGCCTCGGGATCCCAAGGCATACTTCGCTATCCGAGCTGCGTGCTTGTGGTAGAGTACCTCGCTGAAAATACACCGGTAGATAATATTTGCGTTGTAAAGCGACGGGGTATTGTGACTTTTTGTCATCACAAAATAGCTATCAATTGGCAGTATATTATCAACAGTAGTATTGTATACAAACTTTTAGATGATTGAACATATATAAGAAATTTTTCAGTAGCTTACAACGTAGCATATTCGAACACGAAAACATAATACGAATATATTAAGGGTTGACCTATAAATATGAATATATGATTTTTATTGTTTAAAACCCTATTGTATGTTAAATCACAATTTCACTACGACGCCCGGTTGGCGCAATGCAATGATTCTCTACGAAGTTTAGCTTTTCAAAGTATTATAGTGCTACACATATTTGGTGCAATTTTTATTTT